AGTTTATGCTGCTTTAAAGTAATGGGCAAGCACATGTATCTGACCATTGTATCAAATGTAACATTGTTGTCTGTGGTTTGCAAACATTTGATTCATGTATTATCCACACAAAAAATGGTAACAAGGATTATCCAGCTTCATCAGGTTTCTGTATTAATAACTGTGAATTCTGTGGGGCTTTTAATTGTATAGATTCCCTTGTCCTTCAGTACAGTTAATTTATTTTTTTCTGTGACTGCTATGGTCAAACTTTTGCAGGCAGAATTTGAATACTTCAGAGCACTTAGTAATCTACAGGGAACCTAGTCTTAAAGAGTTTGCAATGTTTTCTTCCTAGGTGCAAGCCAAGGAAATGCAAGTGATTCAGGAGGCTGAAAGACAGGAGTTACCAAATCATATTGAGCATGTGGCATATTTTATCCTATCTCAGAGACACTTGCGGCAAACAGTAATAGTGCTACAAGACAGCTGCAGATTCCAAAAGGCAGACTTGTGGACACAGACTGAAGAAAGAAACCTGTGCGAGCTTGTCATAGATGTAAAGCCCTTTTTTGTTGTTATATTGCATTTGTTTATGTTTTAGGATTTTTCAAGGATTGTTTCCTTTCATAGAAATGGGCAGCTCCAGATTACAGTATATCATATAGTCATTTCTGTAACAATTTACACATGCCAAACTGTACCTGAAATCTTCTGAAAAGTAGTATGGTTTACTGTATATGGTGTTGATTTGGGACTCAAGATATCTCCGGTCTGTTCTCAGCTCTACCATGCTTTGTGCCCATGAGCAAGTCACTTTGGGCGAGAGTTTCAAGTGTGGCTTCTAATTCTGGGTGCCTAAGAGGTAACATTTTCAAAAGTGATCTGAGAGCCTAAATCCCATAGAAATGAAATGTGATGTAGGCTCCAAAGTGCCTACATCACTTTTGAAAGTGGGACTTAGGCTCCTAAATCATGTAGGCACCTTTGAAAATTTTACCCCTAGTTGTTGTTATTTATATCTGGAAACCCCACAAAATGTGCAAGTGTTTCCAAACATAAAGGAATACATAATCCCTGTCCCACTGAGCTCACAGCCTAAACAAACAAACAAACAGAGGATGAGGGAAGGAGCACAACATATATACGGTTATGTTAACAAATATATATATGATGTGTAAACTAGTCTCAGATTACTCATTAAACTCGTCATTGGTATCAACAAACTTCCCAAGGTGTATTGGAAACTGTGTGAAAAATAACAAGCTATCACTTTAAGAGTGAGGGATTTTTTGATCCTAACTTCATGATAGGGAGTTCTGAGGGTAGCTATGTGATCTGGATTGTCTGAATCAGCTTGTAGACAAACAGCCTAGAATAAGATGGGGTGAGCTGTGCCTCTCTGTTTTAGGGAGTAACCTGTTTTGTCTCTCTCTCTGGTTTTGGGTCTTGTATGTTATCGTTCTGAATTCTAAGTAATAAAGTAGAGTTACATTGCAACCTTCAAGCAAGAGGGTTTGTTCATATCTAATTTTTCTGTGTGTAAGCTATGAACATCACACTTCTCATAGGCATTTTGGCAGCTGAGGGGTCATCAGGAGAGACCGGAATGTGGAGAAGGGAGTGGCCTTTCAGATAAACTTAGGAAAGTTCCAATTTTGAGAAGTGCTGAGCGCTCACAGCTGTTGACTTTACATGGAGTTGTGCATGCTAAGCACTTCTGAAAACTAGCCCCTAAGGCTGGGACTGTCAAATGAGCCCCAATGGAAGTTAAGCACCTACCTCCTTTATTTTTATTTAATAATTTATTTATGTGTAGATTTATGTTGGGCTCCTTTGAAAATCCCAGCCTGGGTTTCTAAGGTTGACACCCAAAAATAGAGGTATCCACAATTAGAAACCACTTATGCAAATGCAGGCCTCCGCCTCAGTTTGCCCATCTATAAAATGGAGACAATAATGCTTTCTCACCTTTGTTAAACATTTAGAGATCTATGGCTATAAGGTGCCATATAAGTGGTAAGTATTATTATCTGCTTCCTATTGTGCTTGATAGAATTTTGGAAGCTCCTGTAGTTCCTATACCTTTCTTTAAGTTCTCAGTGAGCTGGCTTCTGGAAAGTAAAATGACCTTCTAGAAAAATAAAAGGAGCCGTGTTTTATACTTACGTTCCATGTTATAGGTGTTGTGGAATATTTCAGGTAATGCTGGATGGCAGTAACACATGGGCTTTTTGTGTTTCAGGGGTCATTGGTTGATGATGATATGAAGGGCATCTTACATCTATTGAAAGATAACATGGAGTACAAGCTTTCAGGGCTGGAGCTGAAACAAGCTGCCAGATTATTACAACTGAGAGAGAAGCAGATTTTGGAAATAACCAAATGCCTGAAAGACCACTCTTTGGACACGGTAAAATTGAAAAGAAATTATCTAATGATAATGACCAAAATATCCACTCTCAAGCTCTGTAGATAGCCTGTTTGCTTCCAATGTTTTTCTTAACAGCCCAGGCAAAATTCTTAGTAACATCTTGGCACTTAACGATAGAATGCATGCGATAATTTGAAATGAGCACAATTGTTTGTGCAGATCTGTTTTTGTACAGCTTAATATTGAGCCATGGCTTTGTTTAAAACTTTCAACTTGTGAGAACATCCATTTAAATGGATCAGTATCAGTTTTGTTGCACTGGGCTTCAAATAACCAAAACTGATGAGAGGCTCATGTTCAGTTTTAGAGTTAGGGACGGGTGGTCAGAGCTCCTAGGTTCTAGATCCAGTGTTGCCACTGAGTTCCTGCGTGGCCTCTTGCAAGTCACTTAATCTCTCTGTGCCTCTTAGTGCATGCGCAACGTGCCTCAAGTGGCACGTGACCAGGATTCATCACCGAATTTGGTCCGGTGGTTGATCATTAGCTTCCCCAGCCTAGGCCACATACTAACAGGGAGCACAACATGAACACTGATCCATATCCCCCCCTCTCTGTGCCTCCTTTAATGTATCTGTAGAATGGCATTATAATACTTACCTGTCTTGCAGAGGTATTATAGAGACAAGGTGGATGAGGTGCATCTCTCATTGGACCAACTTATAAAAAATATTACCTCAGCCATCTTGTCTCTCTAATATCCTGGGACCAACAAGGCTACAACAGCACTGCAGACAACTTACAGGGATATTGTGAGTCTGCATTAATTTATTTTAACAGAGCACATTGAGATCCTTAGATAAAAGAAGCTAAGCAATTATCTTTGTTACTATTATATAATAACGACATTCTTTCTGTGAATAAAATTCCTGTTTTTCTCTTCTCTTTTTTTGCCTTTCTGTGTGTATACTCTGCAGTCTGTGGATGAAGCTGGCTTCACAGCCAATGATCTACAGGAATTCAGAAAGCAGAAAATAAGGGGACTGAAAGAACAGCTCAAAATCTTCATGGGCGATAAAAGAACTAAGGAGAATACTTCAAGCAATCCTGATCCACTACAGGTAGAAAAACAGCAAATTCTGTATCTTTTCAAACTGAATTGATTGCACCACATGCATGTCCAAGAGTGTAACGATACCTAAGCAACAACTGCAGCCTATATAATATAGATTATACTGTATACTATGTTGTTGTTTTTATATGTCCCCTTTGGGCTTAATTCAGTCTGATCATTTGGTAACAGAGACTTCAAGGTTGTGATGCTGGAGTTCAGATACTTGTAGCCTGAGCAGTTAAGGGCTTGCCACAGTGGGTCATGATGATGCTTACTGCCTCCTTTCTTCCATGCCCCCACTCACAGCTCTGGGAAGTGAGCCGCGCTTATATAATAACTAGCTGCACATCTACCCGCAAAATAGGACTTCAGTGGTGCATGTGCCTTGTCCTGGCCATATACACAGGGCTGGCTTCTACCACTAGAGAACAAAGACATTGCCATGTGGGAAGAAAAGTTCGAGCCTTTCTACTCCATGGCATCCCATTCTCCCTTAAAGGGAAACACAGAGGTTTTCTGTCATTGGGTTGTCCCATCTCTAGTGACAACCATTCTCACTCTAGCTAGTGCTGCTTCACACTTGCTCATTCCTTGGCTTTTATTGGCCGATTGTATGCAGTGCTTCTAAGTTCTGCCCCATAGCCTAAAACATTAGGGAAAGTGAGGGCCTCCTACACAATCAACAAGTGTAGAGGCCACATTTTTTTTTAAACTGACTCAGAAATAAAGGGCCAAGCCAGATGTGTTTGAATAGAGCTGTATCAACCATCCTTATGACATAATGGTAATGAATTAGCTCAGAATCCACAGTATCTGTCCCAGACAACATGATACAGATTTGGATGTCACAGTGGCTCCGTTACATCATCATACGGTCAGTTAATGTTTGCATTATAAACTCCAGTTTAAGAGTGGGAGCAGGTATTTCATCATTTAAGAAATCTAGAGGAAAACTATCTTAACTGCCAATAATCAGAAGTATTGTGGACATCAGTGGTACATTTTTTACAGGAAGAACTGTAGGTGATTGACAAAAAACATTCTGCCCTGCAGATCAAAAAATCCACATTGGAAAGAGAAGATAAAATAAGTAAAGGGAATGATATCTGGGAGATTTTCCAAGCAAAGGAGCTGCCGCTGGAAGAATCTCACCAATGCCAAATATCAGATGAAAGAGTGAATCTGCTGTATCAGCTGGATCACGGAGAGCTGAGGAGCTGGATGAAGAATGTACGCTGTAGTCCCAACATTTGCATTTTGCAGCATGACGGCACATGCAGTGGAATTCCCTCATAGGGAGTTTTTAGATACTTATATTTTTTTAAAGTTCTATATCCCTTAGAAATGATTATGCATACTCCAGAAATGCCATAGATAGATAGTTTTATGATTACCATGCTGCATGGATGAATGAAATTTGTAGAAAATAAGTGGGTTACAGTAGTTGGTAATTGTCCATAAGTAAATATGCACTGGTTGTGAAATTCATTCATATGCAGAGTGATAGTATGATGGTTTTGAGGCGCAGATATAATATGTCTTATAGCAACTGATGCATGCTGTTCAGACGGAGTTTCTAAAATACTTTGAGAGATCCTGAAGCCTTATACCAGGGTAGTGTCCTATGGGAGAGTCTTACGGAGTGTGAGATTGTATTTCTCAGAGATCTCACCCATTATGTGTTTTACAAACATTTACGTCTTTCTCACAATTCTTGTTAGAAAATGATGAAAGAACACAATGAAACTGTGGCCTTCCTGCAAAAGGCTTTTCACCAGGACCTGGAGAAACTGAGAAGGAGGCTAGAGCCGGCAGAGAAGAAAAAAGAGAAACAGCAAGAAAACAGCCCTGCGTCATCTGCAGCTGCATCCTCATCAGCCAAAGAGAAACCCAGCCAGGCAGAAGACCAGGTTCTATCTCTCTTGGCAGAGAGTAGGTCTGATTTTTCAATAGGAAATGTAGCTGATCCATAACTCCTTGTTGCAAGGAATATGCATTATGGGTGTTATTGATGTTTTAGTAATGAAATAAACATTCAGATCACAAGTACAGTACAGGATGAATGAGATGTTATGTGATCATCTGAAGAGATGCCAGTCTCTCAGCTAGGCAGTAACTGGAAAACACATGCAGAAAGTAAGGGCAGAAAATTGATCACCCCCTGCATTACTAAGATTTAGGTGTGAGAATAGACCGTTGCTTGGATGCCAGCAGTATCTAGGATACAAATACATTAAATATTTAACCAGGATGAGTTTCATTCACCTCCATAGAGTTGAACTGAATCACCAAATTTTAGAAAAGTTCCTTTTGCACCTGCCATAGGAGAAGTTAACAGGGACTTGAGGGGTACCAGGGTTTCACTTTCCTTGGAGCAATGAGCAGAGTTCATTCATTAGGATCGGGGGAATGAATCATTCAAGACCAACTCCCTGTGGTTCCAGGGACCACTAGTCATTTGTTTATTCATTCGTCAATTGCAGGCAATAGGCGTTAGCATAATCTCATAAATACAAATAAATGGTCCAGATGATATAAAATCCTTTTCTCTGTGTCACCTACAGTCTGGAATATACGTAAATCGGATAAGAGATTGGAAACAATTGCAGGGCATAAAGGCCCCTGAGTGCAGCAGCTTATGCAGATTCAGCTAACAAATAAGAATTTGGAGTGTACCATTCACCCAAACTGGCCCCAGTGCACTTGTGTCAGTCCAGTCAGGAACCTTTATGCACTTTCCAGGAGTGGATCAAGATCCATCAATCATCAGAGCTCCACACAAGGATATCCCACCCCATCCTCTTGATAGACTCTGACCCATTCCTGTTTCTTTAATCTTACCAAGTGAGAGAACCCAGCCAACAAATCAAACTTTGGTCATCTTAAAACTAGTTACTAATAAAGTAACCCTAGATTATAAATAGAAAAATCATAGCTAGATTATGGAATAAGAGAAGAAAGAATTATGTAAAGCAAGTATGAGCATCTCTACAATTCTTTGTTGAGAATTTCACTAACACATCATGTATGTTGGCCTCATAGATGTCAAGATACTGAAGCAAACTGAACAGTTGTTGGCATCAAGGATTATTCTCCTGAATCCCCAGTTCAGGTCACCTCTTCTGTATGGTAAGCCCTTTACGCAGTTAAGTCAGTACATTTTAATAATATAGCCCCCTGAGAGTCACTTCCTTCAGTATGATTCCATCCATGCTACATCATTTTGTATCAAACTAGTATCCTGTGACCTTTGTATGATGCTTCCCTATCTCCACACAGTAGCCGCGGTGTAGACAACAGTTACATAAATACATGAAGCTAAATGTTGCATTCCTTAATTAATCAAAACTCCCATTAATATGATAGGAAACAGAATTTGGTCCTGTTATAGAAAATCATTTTTAATATATTTAAGATGTTTTAAATCAAATTTCTTTTCTCTTTTCATCAATCAAAATGTATCATTGACAAACAGAATGCCTTTAATAAAAAGCTTCATAAAATTACCAGGAGTATTTTCTATGCAGTCCAAGCAGGAGTTATGGAAAATAAGAGATATTTATTTTACCCATTTTATTCATAACAAACACTGCGGAGAAGATAACTCTCTTTTCAAGTTATTTTAAAATCTCTTTAGTAACCAGCACTTAGATTTGGGCAAACAATTAAACGGGTTGCTCAAAATATTACCTTCATTGCACCAGTAAATTGTTTTATTCCAGGATATGAGATTCTTATTTGCCTCATGCACACACTGTAAGAGACAGTTATTTTTCACAATTATATTTTTATATTTATTTGTGTAGATGATGATAAAGCCAAATATATGAAATCTTCTCCACTTCTCACTCTTCTGAAAGATGTGAATGACCAGCTCCAAGCTCATGCGATGGCAGCTGGGCTTCTGGAAAGCCATCTGCAGGAAAAAGGTTAATTTCCTTCCCTTCTGTTTTTAATGTACATTTTTAGCACAATTCAGTATAACATTGGGAGATCTCTTTCTGTGTAAGCTTAGAGTTGGCTACTACTCATATGTATTGGGATTAACTCATCTCCAGCAGGGTAGATGTCCTAATGTCATTTATGTTTATTCTGTGATGGAAGTATGGACTAATGGTAAATACAGGGGGATCTGAGAGTTTGGGGTCAATTCCTGCCTTTGCCAATGATTTACTCTGTGACCTTAGGCAAGTCATTTAACCTTTCTGTGCCTTGGTTGTATAACAGCACTTACCAGTTTTACTGGATGTGATGAAATTTGGTTAGTTGTAAAGCTTTTTGCACTTTGAGATCCTTGGATGGAAGGCATGATACATCAGAGTCGCTTTATTTCCTATTAAACAGTGATGCTATAAACATTAGGAGAAGTATAGTAGATTATTCACTGACCAATTGTGTGCTTAACAAGCCTCGGGCTTTAGTCTAATACAGGGGTAAGTCTGGTCATGTTTTAACTAAATCTGAGGGCATTGCTGCAGATCTAGCCACCTTCTCTTTGTCACACAGGTTACAGGCATAAAGTGCTCTTATTATATACCTTTTAACAATGACTCTCATGCATTCAAGTAAACAACTTACTTTCATTTCTCTCTAACAGGAACAGAAAGATTCCACTGACTAGGGTTAAACAATCACAACGTATAATGCAGACTCTGAGTGTGCAAATATAACAGCCTCAGAATTAAATAAAATGACAGTAATAAATAGATAATAGACAATTGAGTATTCTATTCTATATAAGTTCTTACACCATGCTCAACACCATAGCATCTGAGTGCCTTCCAGTAATGCATTGAAGGATGTGACTAATATCTGTCACATACTGTTTTCTTTCATCCTCTCATCAGGAGAGAAGAGTATGCAGTGGAATTGTCTTGTTTGGTAGGGTGTTTTGTTGTTGTCTTTGTCATTTCTATTACTAAATGTTGTATAAATAGTCCAGAAAATGGGTTGTGTGTCTTTTAAAAGTGTTTGCAATGAAATCAGTCTTTCCCAGAAAGCTCCACCTGCGCATTCATCTTTTCCCTTAATATTTCGTGATAAAAGAAAATGTACATTGGTGCTAAATTGAAATGTAAAATGAAAATAAGTGAGTCAGTTGAAATGCTGTTGTTCTCTGCAGACACAGGAAGTTCTTTTCATGATATATTGGATGCTCTGATGACTCATAAAGGTGAACTAATACCAGTTCATCCCCCAACGCTTTCTGCAAGAGAGTTTGTAATATACCAATATGGCATCTCCATTCTCCAGTTTCTCAGGCCTCATATCAATGTAAGTTTAACATACTACAAGAAAATATTTCCATTCTCAGAAGGAAGCATGCATTTGTAGAAAAGCACCAATAAAACCCAGCAACATGCTGCAGGAAACCCATCCATTGTAGCTGAAGGATGGATAGAGAATGCTCAGTGAGAGATTCAAAGGAGTCAAAGCCATGTTTCAGCTACAGTAACTTGGAAGAATGGTCATATGGCTACGGTACTGGGCTGGGTCTCGGGGGATTGCGTTCAATTCCTGGCTGTGCCACAGACTCTTTGTGGGTCCTTGGTCAAGTCACTTGATCTCTTTGTGCTTCAGTTCCACTATAAAATGGGCATAATACTTCCTTTGTCTATTTGGCTTTTAAAAAATTTGATACAGGGAATCTCCTAGGCCTGCTCTACATCTAAAACTTAGGTTGACTTAGCTCAGGGCTGTGAAAAATTTCATTGTGCAGAATAGTTAGATCAGCCCTACTGTAGATGCAGCTACAACCGCTTGAGGGGGTGGATTTACTACAGTGATGGAAAAAACCCTTCCATCGCTGTACTAAGCATCTACATGACAGCACAACAGCAGTGTAGCTGCAGCTGTGATGCTGTAGTATTTGTAGTGTAGACATACCTTTATATCTGTGCTTCTACAGCACTAGCACAGTGGGGCCCTGATCTTGGTTAAGGCTTCTAAAAGCTACTGTAATACAATAAATAAATAATAATAATGGAGCACTAACCACCAGAGCCGCTAAGATCGAGTACACTTTGATTTATTTAATTAGAAAATTGGCAAGATGAACTCCAGTGATACGCTGGGGACATTTTAAACACTCTCCATTTTCATGCAATATTTGTTGGCTCTGCTTCTATTGAAAATCAAAGCTGACATTTAATTTAATTTATATCCCACTAATCCATCTGACTTTGAAGATATGAAGTACATACAAATTTTTACAGAAACAATTATTTTTCCCTTTAGGCTCCAGAAATTAACCTGTGTGTTGCCTCCAGCATACCTTTCAGTAACACCACAGGCAATGCCTTCCAAAACTCTTTCTTTTATCAGGTATGTCAGCTTAGATCCTTGTCAGCATCCGCAATATTGTCAGATATATTAAATTTTTGGATTAAGGAGTGAAATGCAAATACGCTTCCTATTTATCAAGTCATGGCACATTTGATTCCTTCTAGGAAAAGATTGCTTAACAAAGAAACAAAAAATGTCGCTGTGAAAGAACCACCTCTCATCTGCCAGTGATATGTCCCAGTTAGCTAATCGAGCTCTCTAAGATAGTGGTCATGGGGCTGTGTGCCATAGATGGGTCATACTCATAGCTTGAGAGGGCTGGTAAAATTACTGTATATCTAGCGACAATCAGTTTCAGTTTTCGAAAGAAATCTTTTCAATCCAGATTCTGCCACCCTTACTCACACTGAGTAACACCTTACTCTGCCAATAGCCCTAATTGAACTCAGTGAAGTAAGAGTGCTATGAGTAAGGGGTGCAAAATCTGACCCATAACTATTACTTATTTCTATATAGGGATTCTGAGGGAAGAGGTGAGGTTTTGTATCATGGTATAGTTGGGGAAGAGGAAATTCCCTAAAAGTCTTCACACCCACTAAAATAATCTAAAAGTGTGTTTTCTCATGAGAGAAAAATGTAAGGGTGCACACCAGCCTGTCCTGAATAAAACCCTTTAATGGTTGCACTTTCTGCATATGTTTATCCCCAATGGACTCTAGATAGTCTGTCCAATGTCCATGAAAGTAGCAGCCCAGCCACTGTAAACATCATCTCATGTTTCTAATGCTGTCTTGTTGTCTCTGCTCTGGATATTATTTTTTCTTCTCAGATTTCAGAGAACAAATTATTCATTTTAAGAGAGTATCTGGGTTGTGTGGGCAGCTTCATTCTGCTGCTGGTGCACTGTCTGGCTCACGTCACTGCTGCTGACCTCAGCCATGACTCCAGCCCCGCCTTTCAGAGACTGTTTTATCAGGTATAACGATACACTATATATCCAGTTACATTAAGGCACTAACTCTTTGCAGAGATTTACCTTATTAAAACCAGGGCTCTCTTTGGCACCTTATGGCATTGCTTGGAATAATAAGCAGTAAGGAGGGAGGTGGGATAAGATGCTTACCTGTTGACTGCAATGCAGACAAGTTTCCTGGAGAACATTAGTGGCACGGTATCAATAACATATGATGATCATGCTGGAGACGCTGTCAACAGAATGCTGGAAACGTATCCAAAGAACACGGCTTCAAACTACATGGCACCATATTGTAAAGCAACAGAAAGCTCCAAAGCAATGTGTACTCATCCCTTCAGTACAAACGATACTGATTCAGAAACATCTGCAACACGCTTCTGTCACTGGGTGGTAGCATTGGGGACAACTATATTTCTAGCAACCTACTGCCACCGCGGTGCATGGAAGTCTCAAGTGGTTGGGGAAATGTATTCAGAGTTCTGAGCTGGGATATCATTGCAAAATAAGACCTGCATATTACCACTCCTGGCCCAGAAAATTTAGCCACTATCTAGATCTCTTTGTGTGGGATTCAGCTTGGGCCGCTGGAGATTCATAGAATCCAAGGCCAAAAGAGTCTACTGTAATAATACAGGCCATAGTACTTCCCCAAAATAATTCTTGTTTGAGCTAGAACATATCTTTTTTTTAAATGATCCAATCTTGATTTAAAAATGGGCAGTGACGGAGAATCCATCACAATCCTTGGTAATAGTTCCAATGGTTAATTACTCTCACTGTTAAAAATTTAGCCTTATTTCCAGTCTGAATTTGTCTAGCTTTAATTTCCAGACATTGGATCTTGGAGATACCAGTTATCCACCAATATATCTCCTCGGGCACACAAACAGAGATGTGATTCCCCAAAGGATTGCCTGCAGAAGGCTATCCTTGGTGCTCACGCAAAGGTTGGACTAGCAGCATTGCCCAGATCCCAGCACCGTGCAAATACCTCACATGGAACTCTGCTGGTTCTGCTCATGCCTGACCTGATATTCTAATCATGAGTGTCTCCTGAAGAGAGACTGTTAAGAATGCCACATTAACCCACATTGTGTGGTGCATTTGTGATCTGCACATACATTCTCAAAGGACTAACTTAAAGCAAATAAACTAATTTCTTTTGTGATGTGAATCTAGGCTTCCAGAGCTGAAAAGTTATTGTTCTAACCCGTTGTCCATCTACTCTCCTTTTCCTCTCCCTTCTCCTTGTTAATTATTACTTTTATGAATGTTAGCTTTAAATATTTCTTGGACAAATGCGTTCAGGCTTTTAAAAATAATTTATCTCCATGTCTAGGCACTAAAGGCCTGTCTCAGTGAAATGTTCTCCCTTAGACTCCGGATGTCAGCAGTTCTCCAGGACAATAAATCCTCTGTGAAGATAAGTGAGATTCTGTTGAAGGGAGAACCATTTTCTGGGGAGAAACTAAATCTCATCTCTCAGCTTTTTGATGCAAAAGTAAACTCCGCCAGAGAGATGGAGGTGTCCGAGGAGGTAAGTAGAAAGGTTATGAACCCTGGTATGTTTCAGTGTCCCCAACCTTCTTACTGCTTCACAGACTGGAATTCTAAATCAGATCTTAAACTCACATTTCCCACATCATTGCTCAGTAAAATCAGCCTTGTGCAGAGAGCCAGCACTAGCTCTAGGCACAATTTAAGCTCTCAGGTGGGACTTAAATGTAGGGTGACCAGATGTCCCGATTTTATAGGGACAGTCCCAATTTTTGGGTCTTTTTCTTATATAGGCTCCTATTATCCCCCCCCCCCATTTTTCATACTTGCTGTCTGGTCACCCTACTTAAATGGTGCACAATTCTGGCTCTGCACAGAGGTGAATTTCACCCTAACTGGTGTACATATTGAATATAGTCAGGGGCCTGCTTAGTGCCAGGCCTGCTAAGACATCCTTCGGGTTAGGGTTAACAGCAGTGGAGCTAAACCAATTGTCCAATCTGCACAATGGGTTTATTTAAAGCTATTGCCACATACAATTCAGAACTAAAGCAAGCAACAGTGTCCCAAAGGCAGACAAATCCCTGCTGCATTCAGTGTTTAAAGAATAAATGTGACCTCTAAGCATCCAGGTCATGCAGTTGAACATTAAACACACTGTAAATCATATGAAGCGTCTAACCCCAGCAGCTTCCTTTTGTTTTCTATGTCAAATGACCTTTGCTGGCTGACTTTCATTAAAGATATTTTCTCACAGAAAAGACAATATAAAGGTCTCTTTCGATCCCGTTTTCTACCAGACTAAACAAGGCCTGTCACAATGTCTTTGTTGTAGGGTTTTTTTAAACAAGCAGTAGATGAAATCCTCAGCTGGTCAGCGAGGCGGACTTACACCAGCTAAGGATCTGGCCCAGTATTTTTTTTAAAGGAATGGTAATTCTGTTCCTCTGCTTGCTTAGCATCTTAACATCACATGTTACGTTCTGAATGGACAAACGTACAGAGATTGACTAGAATGACTCATGGTTCATTAGACTTAGAGGTATAGCAGGGTTATGGAAGAGAGAATCATTGTTTCTGTAGCAAGTCTTATTCAAACTGCCTCAAAAGCTGACGTTTCATCTGAAACTGTTTTGGGTGAGGAGGAATTCAGAATATCCCAGGGCAGTGTAAAAAGCAATGTCTTTGAAGATAAATTGCAGACAGTCCATAAAGGGCTTTTAAAACCAATACTGACGTGTCCTCCCTTTCTATCCCTATTGTCTGGTGCATGAAGAAGAACAGGAACCTCTTACTCCATACAAATCTTGAGGACCTGCTGAAGAATAAACCATCTGTAAAGAAGAAAGAGTTTCTCACCCACACCTCAGCTGGCAGGAAAGAGAACAACTTTGGTGGGAGGACAAGGTGGGAATTATTTTTAGATGTTTTAATAAGTGACATGCAAATAATTTCAGTGTTCTGGCGCAAAGCAAGTGTATTCCATGACCCCTCATTTAGTCCTGACCTCACCATATGATACCAAGCTGATCTTCCTAGTCAGGGAGTCTCAGGCACAATGGGATGAATAAAGAACAGCACGTCAAGTTCTCTGCTGGTGTAACTCCATTGACTTCACAGTTCAACAGCAGTTTTGGGCCTTGAATTTCAAGCCTATGTCACAAACAATGACTTATCAAGCTTTTCCTTTGCTTCTCTCCATCCTACCACCACCACCTGTCTTATCTAGATTAAGCTTCTGCCAAATAGTCCTCATCCTAGTCCCACTCTCCGTGGCAGAAGCAGGGATATTGATTTAGCTGTGGCATTTCTACTGTCTGTCTTATTTTAAGTCATAAGCATTTGCTTCTATTTCTTCAGCTCAGAAGAGGAAAGCTGCTCTTACTTCAGCCTTTTGGAAGTGGAAGATCAGTTAGATACATTAACTGAGGAGCTGGTGAAAGTCATGGAGGAAGAACATCATTTTTTAAAATATGCAGCCAATGAAGATTTGCTCTTTGATCATCTTAAGATAATTGGTTTGAAGAAAGACTGTTTGGTAAAGCAAATAGAAATATTAGAAGGGAAAATAGCAAAAGGCAGAGAGGTGTTTAAGTAATATTAACAACAGCAAAGAAAAAAAATGGGTGACTTGCTTCTAGCTTGGGTGTCTGCACTCACCTTCACACACACAGTGTATTGTTTTTCATACTCACTCATTATTAAATCTGATTTAAAGGCATCTATGGTAGCTTAAAAACTGACAGGGCCTAAGGCTAGTCGAATCCCTGATTTCTTCTGAAATATCCCTTAGCAGTAATAAGCAGTCAAGATATCTTGGTTATTGTCATTACACAAGCATGTGAAATCTCAGTTAACTGTCAACTTAGCAAAGGACTGCAGGTGGGGTTTTAGAACTGAACTCCCATTTGTTCGGGTTATAGTGCTTAATAAATGTGTTTTGATAACACTATATAGGACTAACCACTACAAACATTGGAGAGGACAGTCACACTTATCCCTAGCCTTTAAGTTTACAGGAAGAGTTTCCTGTCCCATAGACATTCTAATTCTGAAAGGTGCTGAGTACCTCTCACTTAGATGGACTTCAGTGTGAGCTGAAGTCCAGATCCTCAAAAAGGTATCTAAGCTCTTAACTCTGGGCTCAAGTGCCCTCAACTCCTTCCAAGATCAGGTCCTAGTTGACACTGGTGTGATACAAACAAGAATCTGAAGGGAAAGGAGCAGATGGCCTCACACAGGAGATCAGCAACACAGAAGAGCGTTTTGTATATGGATTTGAATGAGATTATTTCTGTTGCAATGGTTGTGAATGTCATTGAATGTCTCTGCTCTAATACTGTCAAACATCTGACATGACTGTATCCAATTCCTTCTATATTCTTTATTGGGTGATTTGATTGTAGTGGCCTATTAAAATAGGTACCTGTTATACCTTTAGAGTTCCTAGATCAAACTAAACTGTAATTTATAAGTTGCATTAATTTGTGAAAATGCAAACAAAAGGTTTTGAAAACAAAAAACCTAAACACAGGTCAGAGCTGAAGTGGCAGGTGTCCAGGCTCTGAGGTGTACTGCAGAAGTGAATGGGAAGCATTGCTCCTGCATTCCCAGCACTACTTTACGTAAGTCACCTACCAGATGGAGATTGTTAATTTATTGGATAGTTTCCTGAAGCACGCTGTTAGATTGCTATTAATATAGCAACACTGCAGGCTCTTTATGAAGCCTTCTAAATAGAAATACTGCCCATTTTACAAAAGATGGAGTCTTCCTACCTTTTGTGGAGGGATCATGTGGAGCCTATTAATCAACAGCAACTACATATATTCTTTCAAAGAATATCTATGCATAGATGACAGTCAAGGCCCATGTCAATCTCACACACACACACACACACACACACACGACTTGTTTTGGTTACATTAGAGCCCAAGAAGATCCACCCAGACATCTGGAGCTGCAGGAGAATTCCAGGATCAAATACAGGATTTTTTTTTTGGCTGTAGCTGTGATGGAGGGAGGTAGGCTTCTGCATTCTCTCCCTTGGACCATGCCCAATCCCCACCACAACAAAGCATGTTTAGGTCACATATGCTTGTATAGTGGTCATTGAATCTCTAAATTACACATTTCTGTTGAATTCTATCCTAAGAAAATATCAGTTTAGGATGCTCTTATAAAGAGCTTTCAGTAGAGGAGGGAAGACTTTCTTTTGGCATTTACCCTTCACACACCTGGTTATAAATCACAAATGCAATATTTTTTAAAACCACAACTAAATTTATTAATCTCCATGTTTCCTTTTTAAGTTACAAATAGAATTACTAGTTTTCAGTCTCTCTTATCAGAGAGATTTAAAAATACATTAAAAGTTTAATAAAATCTTTACATTTCAGGTACATAAAATTAGGGAGAGAGAAATAAAACAGACAGGAGAAGGCAGAATTAAGTGCTTTTCTGTTTGGATAGGTTTTGTGGAAGCATCAAGCTTCCTACCACAGAGTCCAGTATTTTAGTGACCCATAAGAGCCAGGGTTAGAGTGGTGCAGGCACTGCTCTATCGGTTGGTGTTCACCCAATGATATCGATCCATACGAGGTCCAGAAAAAGCAGCCATTGGCCAGTAGCATTTGAAGCCCTTGTGCTGGGGATAGTAAACACTTGCCTGATGAAGTCCATTGGTTGTGTAGGTCTTCTTGCGAGGATACCGAGACCATGGCTGAACGGGCAGCTTGCAGTAGTCACTGAACTAAAAACAAAAACAAGAAGTCCTTGTGGCACCTTAGAGACTAACACATTTATTTGGGCATAAGCTTTTGTGGGCTAAAACCCACTTCATCAGATGCATGGAGTGGGGGAAGCAAGCAGAATATATATTATAGCACATGAAAAGAGTTGCCTTACCAAGTGTGTGTGGGTGGGGAGGGTGTCAGTGCTAATGAGCCAATTCAATTAAGGTGGAAATGACCTATTCAATAGTTGACAAGAAGCGGTGAATAGGAATAGATTAAAGATTTGCATTGAGCTTGGCCTCAAGTTCCTTCTCAGGTATTACAGTTAGTGTGGAGATAAAGTCACTGCTTATTCATGCACATTTGTTGATTTGGGGTGACAGGAGGATCAAGAGCAGTACAGGCAGCCTACAGCGGTACCGACAGAAGAATTTGAGTAGGATAGTTCGGTCTGTCTTCCCCAGTAGATCATATTATAGGCCAGACTCGAGCTGTTTCCTCCTTTACAGCAGGAAAAAAGGTTAGGATACACCACCAGCATCTTACCTGATAGACACTGTTTGGGTTGCTGACAGTAGGGATAGCTTTAGCTTCCTTGGCATAGCCCTCCTCATCTGAGGAGGTGCCAGAATGATAATCCGAGGTTGCTTTGTCAACAGCGTGGCTGATGCGCTGAGAGAGTTCTCGGTCCTCCTCAGCACCTTCAAAGTGAACGACGGTGAAAGGCAGATTCTTCTCACCATACCTAGAGCGAGGAGGGAGTGTTTGCTCAGTTTCTTGACTAAATACAGCTTTGCACTAATACTGTACAGGTCCACTGCTATTTACTCGCAGACCCACAGGTATGACATTACTCTCGACTGTCTTTATGGTAGAGTCCCAGGCTTTTAGTACCCAGTTATTACTTCTTTCCCATTCATGGGAAGATGCCACTGTTGCATGTTTGTGGATTAGCAAGATACTAATTCAGGAGTTTCTGCTGTATTCCAGACTGAAGGGACTCCTCCTACAGGGAGAGTTGGTGAAGAGTTAAGAGAAGTTTTAGGGCTCGTCTACACCGGCAATGTTAAAGTGCTGCCATACATGGCTTGTGTCATTGCAGCAGGAGAAACACACACACACACACAGGTGCACGGTCTACACTGGCGCTTTACAGTGCTGAAACTTGTAGCGCTCAGGGGGGTGTTTTTTCACACCCTGAGCGAGAAAGTTGTACCGCTGAAAAGTGCCAGCGTAGACAAGCCCTTAGTTTGAGAGCTTGGAGCCAGCACCAGTCCCTCGACAGTTTAGAATAGAACAAAGTGCACCCTTCTAATCAAGTCTGACTAGTTATAGCAGGGGTCGGCAACCTTTCAGAAGTGGTGTGCTGAGCTTGATTTATTCCCTCTAATTTAAGGTTTCGCGTGCCAGTCATACATTAACGTTTTTAGAAGGTCTCTTTCTAAAAGTCTATAGTATATAACTAAACTATTGTTGTATGTAAAGTAAATAAGGTTTTTAAAATGTTTAAGAAGCTTCATTTAAAATGCAGAGCCCCCTGGACCGGTGGCCAGGGCCCGGGCAGTGTGAGTGCCACTGAAAATCAGCTCACGTGCTGCCTTTGGCACGCGTGCCATAGATTGCCTACCCCTGAGTTATAGGATTGTAAGAAAATCCACAACTCCTAATCATATGCTCCTTTGTAAATACATTTTTAGAACCATGTCCACATCTGGCCTCTGGAATGCCTTGTATGCAGTGTAGCTGTGGACAACGAGGAGAGTAAGGATGTAACAGTCACCTGAGTTCAGGCCTCACCTGCAGCACACATCAAATGGATCAACCCATATGGTGATCTCTCTTGGCAAACCAAGGTTATCAAAATCCACATTACTCTCATAACAAGCTTGTTCCAGTACAGGATCTCTTGTCTGATGTTTGTTTATCCGTATACACCTAAAGAGAGTAAATAAGGGAGAGTATTATACCACAGGGCTTGTGTTTACTGCAGTTAACTCAAATCCTAGTCACACATCAAAACCTTTAGCTCAAGTGTGGGGATATTGTAAATTCAGCTTATCTGGGCCCTAAGTGCTATTCAAGATATAGCCTGTGTTAGCACAAATCAGTTGCCAACACCACCATTGTTGCTCATTTGTTATTTTGCAGTGTAGTCACTTTCACTCAAGTGGAGATTAACTAGAGTTAACTCTGCAGTGAGAGCAAGCCCTGAGTTATACATACATTCTTATCAAGAAATCATTAGCTTCCCTAAGTGTGCAGCCAGCCTGCATTACCACATCTGCTCTATTCCTTGGCCCTTCATTCCTCCTATCAAGCTTGACCGGAAGAAAAAAGTTCTTAGTAAACCCTCTTCAGTTCATTGCTTTTTCAGCATTTGCCTCATTTGCTTTACTGCATCCTGTATTATTATTCCTGGAGTAGTTCCTACATTTTTACATGGATGTTCCCAGATTCTTACATTCGGTCTATTCCAGCTTGCTAGATACTGGTCCCCCTTTTACCATAGGGCCAAAGCATGGGGCCAAGTCTGTTACCTGAAGGCTTGTCCCCTAGATGGGTTGTCTAGGTACCAGTGGTTCTTATACTTTTCAAACAGTATTGTTGTCAGCTTAGCTGCAAATTTCTCAGTTTTGTGCTTGCTCAGTTTGTCTTGCTTCTTCACCAGCCTTGTGATGAAAAAGACTGTGGCAGCAATTTCATCTTTCATTTTCTTTTTTAATCTGGAGTGCAGGAGGATGTACTAGCTGTTAGACCATCACTGCAGAGAGAGAAAGAACTATGCTGAAGAAACTCTAACTAGCATTAAGGTACTAATTAAGTTTCACTAAGGGCAAATGGTGAGAGGCCTAGACCAGCAAAACCAAAAAGACCTTAGACATCCTAGAGATACCAGGAAGTCACAATGAAGTGTTTTGTCACACAAGACTCAAATATTAAGCAACAGCATGACTGTCCTTTTCATCCTTATTAGTTTAAGGAAGACTTTTGTCAATTACACTATTACCAGCCCCCCATGTTCAAACTTCATGAATCAGATCCTCCCGCCAAGCCACCATTTTGCTTTGAAAAGATTGAGATTTTAAGAAGATGGGTTTGATTTTTGAAGCTTTTAGGGTGCACTCAGGTGACGCTTCAAGTTTCTCTGCAATCATACCAGCTAAATGAAGAAGGAAAAAAAAAAGTTTTTTTTTTTTTTCTTTTAAAGCAAAAAAAATCTCAGTTACAATTCCAGGAACTGGATTTAAAAAAAATAAAATAATAAAAAAAAAAAACACCACACCACAGCCACCAAATATCAAAACTCATAAGAGTCACAAGTTGTCACCACTATAACTAGTTGTATGAATGAATAATGAAGGATTTTAGCTAGGCTAGTGTTCTCAGTTTATTTAGAGCATCCCAATAGAAAAACTATCACTCCAAGAATGAGCATTACTTTAACAAGTACCAGTTGTAGGCATAACAAGCTTATAAACAAGTGTAGAGTACAGGAAATTTATTAAGATAATGTAGTTTTGCCTAATAGGTTGCTCCTGTTTACAGAGAAGTTACCTAGTTACAGATGCTATTCACATTACTCATCACTGAAGTATTAAGCACCATAGAAGAACATATAGAGAGATTAGAGAAACAGAAGGCAAGGCAGTGCTCCCACCCAACAATTATTTTTGGTGTACTAGAGTCAAGGGTGAGCAACATCTATTAGGGAGTTATATCACTTAATTAACCCTCAGTCCACTGTGTAGTGGATAGTGTCATAATATAGTCCTTTTTCATGCCATAAAGGGGTAAATATTACCTTTAAAATGGTCCCTGTCAGATAAAAACTGATAAAATTCCATCTACTTTAAAACTCTCAGATATACTTTAACTACAATAAACAATTCAAAATATGTTCAACAAAAACATGTTTGTTGCCTTAGTAAACCATATACTCAGAAGCCACTCACACACATACCAACTGTCACCACCTACTCTTACAAGCTGCAATCCCTTCTACTCTACAATCTTCTGCTTCAGGTGTATATAGAACTAGAACTCAACTGGCTGTTAAGAGCTTAACAACTGAACA